AAAAAAAAAAAAAGTAGTTGGCTGCAAACCTAAATGTCCGTAGTTCACCTCACACAGCTGCTCAGTGGGAGAAAGGTGTCACAGTCGCTTCTGGAAAGATTTACAGTCTTGGTGGAATCTCTATGGGGTAGTTGTATTCTCTTCCACACAGTCGCCGTGAATTAGAATCATCTCTGTAGCAGTGGGTTTTGTGTTGCCTTGGGGGGCTTAGGGGCCCTGGTGGCATGGTGGGTTAAGCATCAGGTGGTTAACTAGAAGGTTGGTGGTTCAAACCCACCAGCTTCTCCAGGGGAGAAAAATGAGCCTATCTGCTCTACTCAAGATGGACAGTATGAGAAATGCTAAGGAGCAATGTTTGCTCTGTTTTAAAGGGTCGATATGAGCCAGAAAGAATTCTATGGCAGTGGGTTTGATTTTTGTTTTTGAGGGAGTGTCTGAGTGGAACAGAGGGTTAACCAATTCTTTCAAAGGGGTTGTTAGGTGCAGTTTGGTCAGCTGTACCTCATAGTGCCCCAAGTAGCAGCCCGAAACACCACCTACTCCTGCACCATCCTCTAGTTGAGTCCATTGGTTCAAGCACAGCGTCCATTCATCTTGCCCGGGCCTTTCCTCTTTTGGGGGTTAAATTAGCTATTAACCATCCCCTGCCCCTGCTGGGATACACAGCTCTGCTCGTGCACACAGGCCGTCACCTTGATCCCAAGATGACTTGATGATGATGATGATGATGATGATGATGATGGAGTGTCATCTAGCCCACTGTCACGCGGCAGGGGAAGACAGTGAGGGGGTTTGAAAATAATGGTATTGTGACTAGATTAAAAACTTGTCCTTTACAAAGTAATCTAACCTTCTCTGGAGCTCTTGCCCCCTTTGCCATTTGCATTAAAATGACAATTATTTTTTCTTGTGATCTGTAGGGTCTACCTATTTATAGTACAGATTTTGAGTTATTTTGTTAATTTTGTTTTAGGATGCTGTTTTGATGCAATTTTGTGCAAACAAATTGGACAAGAAGGACTTCTTTGGAAAATCAGATCCTTTTCTTGTATTTTATCGAAGTAATGAAGATGGCAGGTAGATTTATCGTTTGTGTATTTTAACTATATGGTAAGAATGATATTTGAATTATTTTTCTCAGGGAAGCTTATTTAATAGATGAATGGAGTAAATTGTTTTGGTATTTTAAAAAGTGGTGTAATTTTTGCATCCTAATAACAATGTGTAATTTTGTAAGCTTTTGTGTGTTTTACTTGATCTATAATGTGGGTCATTTTCAGTACAATAGAAACATTTCTGCCATGCTTTTCTTAAAATATTGTGTTAATTATATGTAAAAGTTATACTTTTTGGAAAACTAAAATGCTGAAAGAAATATATTATGGAATTAAACTCTTTAACTATGTCCTTGTGGAGAGAAGTGGATTTTATGGGCCCTTGTGGTGTGCTGTTGAAGGGCTTAGCTGCTAACCACATCTGTGGGAGAAATATGTGGCAATCTGTCTTGTTAACATTTTTAAGCTTGGACATTTTTTAGGGGAATTCCATGTTGCTATGAGTTGGAATCATTTTGAAGGCAGCAAATTTTTGTTTTGCTTTGTTTGCTATAGTTTTTTTCCCCTAATAATATTTGAGTCTAATTTTAAATTATAATGTCACTGCATTCTAGTAATGTGAATATTTTTTCCCAATGGGGAATAGATCATTTTCTGTGTTTGAAAATGTACCCATGGTCTTTTAGTGTAGAGTTTAATTATAACACTTAATGCATATGACTCTAACATCAAACAAAGTTAACTATTTTTTTCAAAAAATATATCGTACTCCGTATTTGTGGGAAAGGTTAGTGGTTAAAATTTCATCTAAATTAAAATTAAATTAAATTTAAATTAAAATTTCATCTAAATTTTAATTGCCTGTTATTAAAATCATAACCTTGCTATTTAATACCTATGGACAATGGACAACCTCTGTGATCTTAGGATTCTGATAAGTAAGTAAAATGGGGTGGTAAGGGCTACTAGCTAGGGATATTGAGGAGATTATGAGTTACTGCACACGCACCACCTAGAAGGGTGCCTGAGAGCACAAAAACACTCATGTCAGCTACGATTCTTATCTAACAATAGTGTTTCCTTTATTGCTTCCCCAAGCTATTTATAACAAAGCAATAGCTGAAGAGGAAACAGAACTTTTGAAAGGAAGGGCAGAAAGGAAAATGATCACTACGACTTCTATACTTAACACATAAAGTTATACAGCTCAGTAGTAAGGGTATATAGAATGTTGCATTTTCTTAGGTATTTAGTGCTCTCTCCACAGAAAGTACATGTGGGTAACTTTATAAAATGGAACTTTATTTTCTTTCCATTCAGAAGTGAGGGCGTGGTTCTAGGAGTGGTCCTTCCTTGTTGATTTTAATCCAGTAGTTGTCAGCTATCTTGGCAATTCCGGGGCTTGGATACATATTTGTCATCTGTCTTCCTTTTCTGTGTGTCTGTACAAATCCTGCTCTTCTATACCTCAGAATTGAGTTGCATTAGGATGTCCTCATTAACATAATAAAGTAAAACTACAATTCCAAATTGAGTCATATTTATATGTACAAGAGTTAGAATTACAGCACATATTTTTTTTTGGCTGGGATGTGGCGTGGGGTAGATCAAGCTATAACATCCATACAAATCGAAAGCTCACTACTTAATGTTCATACACAGGGCAACACAAAATTATGCCTAAGGCATTTTATTGATGTAGCTATCTTTTATTGATATACTTATATTGATATTAGTGTTGGATATTTTGTTATGGAAGAATAATTACTGTCTCTTAAACACGTCTCTGATCTTGATAGCAAAAGTAAATATTTTTTTACTTCTGTACACTTTATATCTATTTGAAAAAGGTTTTCCTTCCTCGATTAATTTTTTTCTGAATTTCTTATTTCATTTATTTATTTTCATTAAAGATTTTGTTTACAGATTGAATAAAAATTTGTTATGCAACTCTAGCATTTCAGTTTATCACACATTTTATGCTACTGGTGAGACTTTTATTTTAAGGAAAAAATGGTAGGTTTACACAATGATATCTATTTATTAAATAAAATTTAGGTGTTAAGAAAAAATGTACAACTTCTTTCCCAGATGTCAAATCATTTCAAACAACTATCATTCAAATTTAGTAAAACCTCAATACACACAATTTTTTTGTTTTGTTTTGATTAATATTAAATGAGTAAAGTAAAAATGCCTGTACTCCTCATTTTTTACCTGTCTCTATTTTTAACTACTCATACTTTCAGCTCTATTTTTAACATTTGAAAAATTGCCTGCTATATTGAATGTTAGAAGCTCATTTAAAGGACAGAATAAAACCTTAACTTCTATTAGAAGAATTCATTTTAAAAATATGATTATGAATTATTGTCTTCCTTTCAATTTATTAATTTGTTATTAATGAGTAGATAAGAATAATTTCCTTTTTAATAGCTCTCTGATATATGAGTGGGTATAAATTAATAGTTTTTTTCTATAATAATGAAAATACTTTCCTATAAACTATATATGATGCTCATGTACTTATATTTATATAATGAAACTCCTGAATAGTAGAAAAAAATCACTTCGCTGTTAGAATTTTAACTATTTTTATGAGTGCTGGAGTTCTAACTAGCGAAATTGTGCTGTCTATATCACATCTAATGCAGTACAAATATGAATGATTAACAGGAGACAAATGACTGCCCAGTTTATAATTATTTTACCAAGAAGATGAGTAACTTTCTTAGGAGAAAGAAGTTTCACGGGTCAAAGTATTTAATTATTACAACTGATGATCCTGGGAAAATAACATGAATTATGACTTAACCATAATCAAAGAGGACAAATATTTAGCAAGCTATTGAATATTTTGGTTTGAAGATGGTTGATCAAACCAATCACCTTCTCTGTCTCTGTCTTTCATTGACACGCACATCTACCTACCTACCATTCACCATATCAAAAAGTTCCTACATACTAAAATCTAATTTGGAGAAGCGAAATCCACTTTTGTGGATATTTAAGAATGTGTTGATTTACCAGATTAGACATATGCCTATTTAAAACAAACCTACATTTAAATCTTCTCATAATCATGCCCATATGGATTTTTCTTAGCTTATTTTCTATGTCTTTGACATTCTTCATTTTTTTCTATCTGTATTCTTCCCTCTGCCTGCTTGTCTCCGTGCCCTTTGATTTTTGTCAGTCCATTTAGTTTGTTTCAATTGCCTCTTTCATAGTCCTCTCTGTCTAGACTGCTTCCTTTCAATGCATTTTGTCCCGTTGTCATCTAATGGATTTCAAAGCATAGCGCCATTATAGGAAATGGGGAGCTGCTTCTGGGGTGGGGTGGGGGGGTGTTCCTAAATGGTTACAGTGAGTCAACTCTGAACTCATTTCATCACAGGTAGTCTCCTGAGTTGTGTCAATTTCATGTCATGGGATTCTGTAGGCTGGCTAGAATACTACAGGGAAAGAGATCATATTAATGTTATAAGGACTGCAGTGATCATTGGATCTCTTTATACTATACATCTATCCTGATACTTTAAGGAAGTAAACCCCTGTTGCCTGAGAGAAGAAAAATAGGCTTATACTGGTGTTACGAAGAGAGACTAATTTCTTGTGCAGGATAGGTATCGTATATTTATATTCACTGTGGTATTTTTGTAATATTTTCATATTGCACTAGAGAGATCTCTAATTTTGGAACACCATGGCTAAATTCTTTGTGAGGATTGCCTTTTGTTTTTTTTTCTAAGTTTTTTTTTTCCCTAACCAAGATCAGTTTAAATGTGTTCTGACTAATGAGCTGCTATGTAAATTCACATTAGGCAAGCACATTTCCAGAACTTGATAGATATATGAGGATTGTTTGATTTGGTTGAAACAACAGTGGAATTTGAATCATAAAGCCAAATTGAAGGCTTCATATACAGTACTACTGAATTGAGATATTCTTTTCTTTTAGTAATTTTACATATTTAAAACTAATAGTTTAGATAAAGAGAAAACCACATACTGAGTGGCCTCACTGTAAAGACATGAGATTAATTTTAAGTGTACTTTCCAGCAAATCTACTCCTTTTCCATCTGTTCTTCTCCCATTGCTTATGATCATGCTTCCAATTTCCTGGGGAAATAGAAGAAATGGGAACATTTATTTATGTCCCCATCATGGCATCTATCTGTATACTTTGCCTTCCCAATAGTTTCTTCAAATTAGTCTAAGACCAACTTCTCTACTGATACCTTAGGTCCCTTCTGGTAGGCTCACCTACCAAAGGGCATTGTTCTAAACTTTCTCTTTCCCTGTATTGAATAATAAATTATTTCTTTTCTATTGAATCAATTCCTTTAGCATACAAGGGGCTACCCCAAAAACCCTGGAAAAAAAGCTTCGCTGGGTGGAGCTATCGTAGTACGCATTTTTCCCACCAGGTGAGCATCAAGCAACTCACTCTGAGTTAGTGCCCCTTGTGGTGATGTTGAACACAGCTTCCAAGGAAGACGCCGTGGGAAAAACTCAAGTGTAGGAGTGGTTTTCTAGTTTCTAAAAAAATGAAATGGCGATTGATGACAGATCTTACTTGAATATCTGTCAACTTCCCAAAAGGACGAAAATGTCAACAAAATTCGTGCACTTGTCCTTGCACAGCACCGACAGACCCCTGAAGAGATGGGGGAAGTTACCTGGACTATCTTGGAGCTCAGTTCAGCGAATTGTCACAGCAGATTTGGGAATGAGAAACGCCGCTGCGAAATTTGTGCATTGGATTCTGACTGACCAGGAAAAAGAGTGTCGAGTGGAAATATGGCTTGCTTTGAAGGAGCAGCTCCTAAGCGACCTAGACTTTTTTCCAAGGTCATTACTGGTGAGACATAGTGATATTCTTATGACCCTGAAACTGAACATTAATCAAGCCAGTGGAAGACACCAGCCATGTTCACCTCACCCAAAAAAGAGCTTGTCAAGTGTAATCAAAGCATGTTAAGGTGATGCTCAGTTTTTGTTTGTTTGTTTTTATCTTTTTGATGTGAGTGGGATAGTACATTTTGAGTTCATTCCACCAGGTCACTGTTAATCACACTTTCTATTTAGAGGTTCTGAAAAGATGACGTAACAGTGTGCACCAGAAAAGGCCTGATTTGTGGCAGATTGGGGAATGGTTTTGCCACCACAACAATGCACTTGCTCACACAGGCATCTCATTGTGCCAGTTTTTGACAAACATAGAAAACAAAGCAGACTGACTCTCTTGCCCCACACAACTGACCTCACTCTGTGTGACTGCTTTTTGTTTCCATGAATGAAGAAGGGCATGAAAAGACAGCAATTTGATGACCTATAAGAGGTGAAGCAAAACCGAGGGAGGTGCTATATCAGCCATTCAAACAGATGAGTTTGAAAAATGGTATTGCAGATTTGACAAATGTACTAAGTGTAATGGAGAGTACTTTGAAGGTGGTAAGGTTGTTTTGTTAAAAAAGTAATTAGGAAGAAGAGAAGGATGCAGGTCAGGGGTGTGGCAGAGAAAAGTGGGATATTCACACCCCCTCTCCACGATTGAGTTGGCCTTGGGCTTGGGTCTGGTGACAAAGACATAGCATGGATTCTGGGGTCAACTTGCATCAATATGGAAACGTAGTTAATAGCAGAAGGTCTGCCATTAGTGAACTCCATTCCACCTGGGCCCTCAGGGAATTTGGGCGCTCATTGGTGTTCTGTACTGAAGTACCCCTTTCAGTTACTAACTTGCTCCATTTAAAGCTTTTTTCTGGACTGCATATTCTCCCTAAACTAAAAACGTTCCTTCAAACTGGGATTAAAACTCAGCCCAGAGGGATTTAAACCTCTACCCACCTCCCTGTGACAGCTTGACTAATCATCCCCCTGTTGGAGGATTGGAGGGAAACTCATTTTTCAATAGGCAGATGACACAACCTTGAAGCACTAGCTGATGAACACCAAAGAAGACCGACTTTTATATGGATTATGTACCAACATAAAGAAAACAAAGATCCCACAACTAAGCCAATAAACAGCATATAGATGGCGACGATATTGAAAGTGCCAAGTTTTTAATTTTATTTTGATCCACAATCCTATCCCCTTGGAAGAGCGGGCAGGAAATTAAAGATGCATTGCATGGGCAAGTCTTTGGTCGGGTACCTTTAATGAGTGTGACAGAGCACAGATGTCCGTTTGTGGAGTATGTGCGCTCCGTCCAAGTTCTGGCACGTTTTCACTCTTCATAGTCAGGTGAAAGTTGCACAACGAATGCAAAAGACCTCAGGAGAAATTTTCATTTTAATTGTCGTTTTGGTAAAGGAATACTGAATATACCATTGACTTTTAGGAGAAAAAAAGAAATGTTTGGGAAATAACTTGATGTGAAGATATCCGAACTTCGTCTCGCCTATGTTTCCCCTGTATCAGGAGACAACGGTCCCTGAGAATAGAGAAAGGCCATCAAGTTGGAAGGACACTGCGATTTCATCAATGGGCTCGATACTACAAAGATTGTGGGGATGGCAAAGGACTTGGCCGTGTGTAGTTTTTTTGTACATGGGAGCACTATGAGTTGGAACCATTTTT